TATATGTATATATATATATATATATATAATTTATTTATTTTCCTGAGTACCCTCTTCAAGGGTCTACCATGGTCTTTGAAGAAGCAGTGCTACAACTGACTATATCCAGAAAGCTTGGAATTTAACACCAGCAATAATACCAACAGTACCAATGTAATGGGACTCCCTCTCCCATCACCCCAGAAAGTCCAGAGCATCAATTCTGTTTTCTTATAGACTGAGACAGAATTAACTAAATGTCTCTTTCATGTGATGATTACCCAGAGGGAACACAAGGAATGAAATTTCTTTCGATATTTACAAATGAATTAGGCACCTTTACTTGGAAAATAGGTTTTGGTTTGGTTTTCTTTTGTTTTATACAGGTTTGGGCTCTAGAATTAAAAGAGAGGGCAAAATAAGTTTATCTGACACATAGAATGTGCCTGGGTTATTTGTCAAAGTAGGTCTTTGTTAAACTCGATCTTGCAGATACATCAGTTTATATCACAGGCAAAGGTGAAGCTGCTCTGGCTCAGGGGAAGGTAGGAGGACTTGATTTTGGCCTTCTCCCACCTTCCATAGTTTCCTTGGGTGGTGGGGGCCTGGGTTTACTCTGCTAATGTCTACGCTTTGTGGAAGAAAATTTGTGAACCACTGATCCAGAAGAATCCAACAAATCAAGCTGGCATTTATTTAATCTTTTTTTTTTTTTATTAGATACAATCTTATGTTGTAATGTGACCCAGTTCTTTTTCAAATAGGGTCTCACTATGCTTCCCAGCCAGCCTTAAGCTCATGGTCCTCCATTTCTGCCTTCTCAAGTCACGGAAGTTGCAGGTGCACACCACATGCTTAAGTCTTTAGGTTAGACAAAGAATTGAACCTGGGCCTCCCATGTGGTCCTAGACTGCAGAATCAGCATTTTAACAATGTGTACCATTGTGGTTAGGCCCATATAGTCAATCTTACTTCCTGACAGAAGAAAACATTACATTTTAAATACAAAGTCTTATGGTCAAGTAATAATAACACCATCCTTAGAGTTTGAAAGTCAAAATCCTTATTTTGTTCTGAACTTCCTCCCTAGGGGAGATCAGGCCCATGGTAATGGCTTGCTACCAAACTAGTTTGGCTGCCTTGCTGCTCAAACAGCCAGTGTTCATGATATCCTCCAAGAACTTGGATGTTTCCCTATTGCTTGGCCTGGAAGCCTGGTGGCAGCTTCCCCCTAGAAAGCAGGTTTATTGTCATCCTCAGGGCAGCTGGAGATAGTCAGTTAGTGAGGGGTCATTTGTGGTCTCTCAGGGTGGCATCTGCTACTAACTCTGTGGGCTCCCATAGTTGTGGAGCTGGGAAGGGACCAGGCAGAAGGCTTTTGCTGGAACTATTGCTTGCCGTAGCAGGATCAATTAGAACAGAAGTGGACACTCTGCTCTGCTCACCAGCAGGGCCCTGGCAAGCAGAGACTCAGCTGGTCCCTTGAGCAGTGTAAACAATGTTTTTTTGTTTTGTTTTGTTTTGTTTTGTTTTCTGTTGTTGTGGTTTGTTTGTTTTAAGAATCTTTTCCTGGGACTATAAATTAGAGGAAATACACAAATGGGCTTATATGAGTCTTTATAATCCCCAAAGACCTCTACATACATACTATTTTTGGCTAGCCAGTCAGGATAGGCAGTACACTTTGGTTTTTCCTCTTATGGTAGAGAAGAAGAAGGTGACTTGGCCTATTTTGTAGTAATTGTACCTGCACTCCACCACAGATGATCACTCTTTGTTGAAGCTATAGATTTCTTAAAGAGACACCATTGAAAATCATTTGTTGATTATGGAATAGTAATTTGATGTTTGGAGCAGAGAAAGTAGGAGTGGTTCCAGACACTCTAAACCTGGCTAATTGATAAACAACTGACTTCAAAATTCATGTTTATGAGTTGAAGATGAAGAAGAATGGGCTTTGGGATTTCAGGACTAATTAACATTTCCATTTCAGGTACCTCTAACTTAACCCAACTCCTGAGATCCCACAGGTGCTGGACCTCCTTAAATGCTACAGGAGGAAGACACCAACTTTCATCATCAGATGGCAGAGAATGTTTCTGTGTATTGTATATACCCCCTTCTGGTTGATATCAACAGCCATGAAACTCACCACAGGTCTATTTTCTCTTGGTAAATAGGAACTTACCATCATTATGGCAAAAATAGCACACACTGGGCATTTGATTTGATGCCTCTCCTAAGTGAACTCAGATTTTGATATGGTTTAGTCTATAAAATGGCTGTGATTTTTTAGTCCATAGGTTGATGAATTTAGAAATAGACAATTTTAGGACTTCTCTGTAATGTTCCATAAAAAGTTTACTTTATGTCAATATCTGTTTTTAAAAATATTATTGAAATAGTGGTATACAGACTTGAGGCTTGCCATAAATATAACTACCAGTTATCTCTAATTACCACAATCTTGGAAAACATTTTGTTGTTGTCTATTCATAGTGTCTACAATGAACTCATTGTCCTTCACTGAGAATATACCAATAGCATTTATCTATTGTCTTTTAAAGTTTTATTTATCTTTTGAAGTGTCCTGTAGGCTTTAGTTCTGGTTCTCCATCAAG